GCATTGCGGCTTGATTTCCTGGCAACAAACAACACGGTAGAATATGAAGCCTTGATCGCAGGACTGAGGATTACACAACAGCTGGGCGCCGAAAGAGTCAGGGCCTTCAGTGATTCCAGTGTGGTCGTTAACCAAATAGGCAGATTACACAACTCGGGGACTGCAGCTGGCCAGATATCGGGAACAGGTCAAACAGCTTATCCGGGCTTTCAAATCATGCTCCATCTCCTACGTGCACCGAGCACTAAACAAAAGAGCAGACGCATTGTGCAAACTCGCATCCTCCGCGTTCGCGCACCTAACCCTGAAGGTCCTAGTAGTACTCCCGCACCCTAGCATAGAAGTCACTGCGGTCAACTAGGTAGACGCGACCCCGCAGCCTAATTCCTGGATGACACCAATCGCGAAATACCAGATGGGCGGGACGCTCCCTGAACACAAGGTACAGGCACGGCGCATCTGTCGCCAAGCGCCCCAGTTCCTACAGAAAGGTGGCGTCCTCTACAAGCAAGGGCACCTGCAGCCATGGTTGCGATGTGTGAATCCAGAAGAAGCAAAGCTATTGATCCAAAGTGTCCACGAAGGTGCCTGTGGTTCTCACATCGGATCGCGGAACCTGTGATTTTGCGGACAGGCTACTTTTGGCCGACCTTGGCTCAGGATTGTTTTGACTATGTGCTTAAATGCCACAACTGCCAGAGCTTTGCCCCAATCGTGCGGCTCCCCCTACACAACCTGGTGTCCATCTTCAGTCCTTGGCCGTTTCATAAATGGGGGACCGACATAATCAGCCCCTTCAAGGAGGGAACGGGGCGAGCAAAGTGACTCCTTGTCGCAGTTGATTACTTCACCAAATGGGTGGAAGCCGAACCCATAGCATCGCAGACTGGCGCGGTGGTCGCGAAGTTTTTCTGGAAGAACATTGTTTGCAGGTTTGGCATCCCTCACACGATAGCTTCAGACAACGGCACCCAATTTGAGGCTGGCGTGTTCAAGAGATGGTACGAGGAATTTAGAAACGAAAGAAAGTTTGCCTCTATCGCGCACCCACAAGCAAACGGTCCCGCTGAGAACGCCAATCGCACAATCATGCAGGGTATACGCCGGAGACATGAGCCCCTGAAAGAAAACTGGGTGGAAGTAGTCCCGCATGTTCTGTGGGCGCAGCACACAACACCCCAAAAAGCGACCAACCGGACCCCCTTCTTCTCTCTGGTTTATGGGGGGGAGGCGGTAATCCTAGCAGAGATCGAGGTATCATCCTACCGCACCCTAAACTTCGACGAGGAGGAAGAAGATAAACAGTGCAAGGGTTCCCTGGATCTGGTACAAGAAGTCCGCGACGCCGCATACATCCATGATGCGCGATATAAGCAGCAAGTCGCCAAGCTCTACAACAGTAAGGTGCGGGCACAAGAGTTCCTGGTGGGCGATCTATTTTTCCAAAGGAACGACACGAGTCATGCTGAACCTGATGGCAAGTTGATCCCCAACTGAGAAGGACCCTATCACGTCATAGCTACCTCTCCATCGGGGGCTTACAGACTCCAAACCTGTGAAGAGGAGCCACACACGGTCGCGCGAAGGTGGAACGTTAAACACCTCAGAAAATACCACTACTAAGGTCACATGTGCTGCCACCTGGCCACTTATATTTTTGCCTCTTTATTTACGTTTTCTTTAAAATACTTGCACACTGTCTATGATGTGATCACTTGTAAGATAAGCCTGTTTAAACTAAGTATCTCTTGATCGCATACTTCTATCAAATGTAATACTTATTAGTAACAGCAAACGATCAAACCATAACAGCGCGATCAACGCAACCACAAAACTGGGGGCGATCTCGATGCGATCCCCCGTCCGACCCAACGCAGACATGGGAGGGCGGTCAATCAAAACCACGGCATCGCGCCACGTCCGGGCGACGTGACCACAAAACCGGGGGCGATCTCCATGTGATCCGCCGTCCGACCCAACCCAGACATGGGAGGCCGGTCAGTCAAAACCGTGGCATCACGTCACGTTCCGCCAGACACTCGATAGCGGGCAAGAATACTTGAATCGCCTTGCCACCGCACAGACACAAAGACGTACACATTCTTCAAATCGATCAACACCGATTCCAGGTATGATCGTGGGAGAGAGGCTTCAACACCAGTTGGGATAAACTGACGCTTCTTTTGCGGCACCAATTTCTTCAACTCCCGAATGGTCTCTTCGAGCTCGTCGATGCGATCGTCCTGCTGATCCTAGATTTTGATGAAGTCCCAGAGATGCTTTTCCCACAAATGTTCGTTCTTCCAGTAATCGAACTGGCAACATTTGAGCACTGACCGCAGGTCTTGGAACTCGATCGCATACATAGATCGTACCAGCTCTCTCAGCTGCCTCCTCTTTCCCTCCCTGTCCTGCTCCCCAGCACACGGTGGATCAAGAAGGCATGAAACTATGCTATGGTAGTACAAGGACTCGCATGTCCTGACGTTGGGATCAAGAATTTTTAGGCCCACCAAGCCGCCTTCAGCCGCCCCGATCGCACCAGGGTTTCCCGTGGAAGTGACTCCCCTAACAGCTGGCGTCGTACCTGTCACAGCAAGAATATTACCAGGCGCCACACCAGAAACGGATGGGCCACTATCATTTCCTAACTCAAAAAAAGCCTCTCCAGGGCGACCATCTTCCTACACAATAAAGGGGGTATAGGTCAAACCTACGTCCCAAGGGCACAGAAACAAAAAAGAGAGGCCCAAACGGGAAAAACGGCAGCGGGACACGCCCAACACTCAGACACCAACATCAAGGGAAACCATCAACGACACAAACAAAACTGCAAGCCAACACTGACGTCGACTTAACCAGGTTGAAAACCGCCAGGAATAAAAACAGAAAGACATAAAATATCCACCAGTGGTGGCCACATCGTTCGGAAACCACCAGAATCCACAAATTCACAACAACAAAAAAGTAGAGAAAATGTCTTATCAGCAGGATATGGAAGCAGGTAAACTAGTCTATACCTCTCCACCGCCTTGGGGGTGTGCCTCGCCACCTCCCAAGGGGGGAGGGTTGTCTTTGGCACCATGAGGGGGAGGATTGCTTGTGCCTGCATCATCATCACCTCCTCCAGACAAACCTTCTTCATCGCTGGAACGGCTTGGCGACAAAGGGGGAGTTGCAATCCCGGCCGGTGTGTCGAACAGAAGAGTAGGGTCACATGCAAGGTCCAAATCGCTTGAGAGTACTACAGGGTTGCGCAGAGTTTCCTGATCTCCTGCATCACAGGGAAGAAGTCGACATCCATATCGCGAATGTGTGTGCTTGCGTCCCTGGCGACCTTGGCCATCTGCACATTCTTCACGGACTAGTCGTCCCACCAAGACGCGATCCTTTCCCTCACCCAATAGGAGTCATCGCCATCAGAGTCATAGTGGTCATGGATTTCCGCCAACAAATCATGAGCTCCGACTCCGCAGACAGACCCGAAAACGTGACCCACTCCCTCCATGAACGTGTGCGACCCTAACACTTCTTCACAGATACGGCGATCAGATCCCCCAGCATCACCCTGGGGATCAAGGACCTGTCAAGTTCATCATGCTCAACCCCCCTGGAGAGCTATGATCACATTGTTCTGAACGTTGTCCTTCTCAGCCAATTCCTTCTTTAACTTGGCGACTTGATCAGCCAGGTCGGCGGAGTACATTGCCCACTGTCCCAGACCGGACATGCACTACAACATAGACACCAGGTTCTATCACATACCATGCCAAAACAAAAAAAAAAAAAAATTTCAAAACCTAGAGCGTGGCATCTTTCGGCCCAGCAGGCCTAGGGATCGCGTCTAGCTGGGAGCAAACCACGTTTGGTGGATCCAGCTCCACCATCGCCATGCTCACGCCACCCCCCTACGCCCCAGTTATATCAATAACAACACCGGTCATAGTGACCTACGCTCCAAACGCTGTGATTGCAGTCTGCACGCTGATCCGAGTCGTGTCTACCGGCGGCCGCGACTCTGCGGTCGCCAACTTGTTCCTCTTACCGCCTTCTTCTTGCGATAGGTTGGGGACGGGTCCCGATCGACTTCTGTCGCCCCCCGTCTTCCTTTTCTTCGAAGCGGTAGCTCCCCTAACATTCTTTGCAGACGATGTTGTATGTTTGGAATACAGAACTTGACCCATTATTACAAGCTCTAACCTACAAAGGATAAGAACAAGAGGCCGAGAGTCAGTACTAAATTCAGGAATACCTGCAGCATGCTCATAAATAATGTGCCGGTTTTTCTCCACTTCTGTATGCGGCAAGATGCGACCAAAGTTCTTAATCTTTTTGATATCACTCAATCACATACTATATCCTAGCTTATCCTGGTCTGTCCAAGCATCAACGCTCGAACTGGCATCAGAATCATCATACCATTGGGGGACAGTTGTCCCCCCAGCATCAACAAAGAACAACTGCTCCCTCCACTTTTCGCTTTTCAAGCTTCCCCTCTTTTCTGTCTAAATCAACTTATGCGACCCTGTCATGGTATTTTGCTGAAAGTTGAACCAAGTAGGAAAAAAGAATAACAGAGAAAAACTTATATGTAAATTAGAATAAACTAATCAATTGTAAAGAAAAGAATTGATTTAATCTTCATTAATAAAACTAAATGAAAGTGGTTGTACAAAGAAAAAATAAGAAATGAATGAATGAAAGTGCTTCCAAGGCCTACAATGTAGTTTCACTGGAACAATTATCGAAAAGGTATCACCATCTAAAATAGATATCAGTTGACCATTGTTATGTTGAACCAAACAATTCTGATTTAAAAATTTTGGTACGAATTCAGAAACTGGATCCAAACGGGAGAGGTTATTAACAATAAATTAAACCCCCTTTTCAAAAAAAAAAAAAAAAAAAATTAAACCCGCGCAATCTATTGACACTCGAAAAGTCGAAATGTAAAAGTAAGGGGGGGCAAACGTAATTTCACATTATAGCAACAACGGATAGGATAACAACATTGCGCACAAAACCAGAACTCAAAGAAGAACCAAAAGGAACAACACACACCCCAAAATCCTTCTTCAATGGCAGCAACCATTTCCCTTTGTTCTTCCCTTACTCCAACAGCTGCATCATCTTCATCCCTCAGTTCTTCATCATCCCCCAATTTCGTCTCCAAAACCAGCAATTCAAGCTGCGTTAATTTCCTTTCGCATTCCCTTTCTTCCCTTAAACTCACCCCTTGTCCTAAAAAAAGCACCCCTTTTTCATTTGTTCCCAAATTCGCTCAAACTGAGATTGCCCCATCACTGACTGATGATGAAGCTGCCGAGCCCATTACCGCCATTGGGAATCTTGGAAGCCCAGTTTCAGGAGAGCCCAAAAAAGAGGAGGTTTTTGCTGTGGTCATGGTGAGTCTCTGAATTTATTTGATCCTTTGTGGGCCCAATTAATTTATTTTATTTTATTTTTTGTCAAAGTTTAAATCTTTATTTGTAATGGATGCTTTATTTTGGAGAGATTGAATAATAAAGTAGATTCTAGCCTAGTGTAAATTTGGGGGTCATAGTATTTTTTCTGGTAATGTGGAAGAAGTTGTGCATTCTAGTAAACTTCCTGGGGGTCTGTAAGACTGTAACTATAGGATATAATGTTGATTTGCGTGTAATTTTGCGGGTTTTCGACCTTTGTCGAACTTTTTTGTGTTGAGTTGTGGATGTGGTTGTGTAAAAGAAGGAAAAAGAAACTCGGTGGTGGATACAATGTCATGGAGCTTGGCTAATTGCTGGTTATTTTGAGTCTTTATTATATTCTGATCAGATTTAAACTGCGTTCAATTAAGACCTTTATGGAGCCTTTGGGTGAAAATAGAGATGGATGTGATGAAGGTGAGCAAACTATTACTTAATCTGAGCTTTATTGAGGCTTTTGGTAAACAGACATGAATGAGGAACAAATTAAGCACAATGTACCATTTTCTATTAGCTACATACTTTGTTTCACAAGAGACACTAGCTAAAGTTATTCTTTCATTCATTTGTCTTAATTTTAAATGAAACAATGCTGTAAAGTGGAATGATCTGAACAAAATATATTATTTTCTTGTAGCAAATGTGGAACACAAGCCAAAGTTGGATTTGTTCTTTCATTTATTTTTCTTGTTTCTGCTGTTACGCACGTTTTAATGGTATTCTTCTTTTTCAATTGTTTGCACTGGAAATCTTTCTGTCTCTCTTTCTGTCTCATTTTATTTTATTTTTATGTGGAAGGCTTTACAGAATTATCTTTGCTAGGAAGCTTTTCATTTGTACATTAACGGATTAAGATCTCCACTCCTAGCCCAATCAATGTGTGCTTATTTCATTTATTCCCTTCTCAGGTTGGATCCCGTCAGTATATTGTCTTCCCTGGACGCTACATCTATACACAAAGGCTTAAAGGTGCCAACGTCAATGACAAAGTAAGCACTTGGTGTGACCATTTGTTAAGTTGTTAATGCTTCATTTAGATCCTGTTTGGAAGATTTATATTCAAAATATCAACACTTTCTGCTGGTTTTAATTAGAAAGACACTAGCGTTTTTTAGCGTTTGTTGAGCAATGATAACGTAAGCTTTGGATTCTATGTTTGACATTGTTTCTTTTACCAATCAACAAAGTTAAACATGAAAGTAATTTGTTCAATAATGCATAAAAGAGATGGCTATGATTTGTTCTAGATGCTGTTCAAAACCCCATTATTTGGTTGATCATTGTAAACGCGAGTTTGAATTTTGTTTTGGCTTATTACATGTTTGGATTGAGCAAATCTATCCTCTATATTTGTCTGAATGAGGGCTACATGCATCAAAGCTTTTGATCTGTGTTTTTAGAGGTACTGCGTTTCCTTGCAACATAGTCAAACCCAGGTCTGGTGGATGTTGATATGGCTTATCTGTTTCTTTTATTTCCTAAACTTCTTGTGTATGCATCAGGTATTGGTGTATTTTGAATATCTTTGTTCTACCAAATTTCATTATTCAATAGAAAGAATCCCAGCCTTCTGCATTATCTATTAGCATATGTAGTATTTATTATTGGTTGTAAGGCATTTCTTGACAAATTGCATAGCTGCTACTGGTCAGTGTGGCACCACTTATTCTGGAACACAGCAATTTGGAAGTATGTAATATTTATTCTGGAACACAGCAATTTGGAAGTATGTAATCATTCTTTCTATCTGAGTACACCATCACATGCTCTACACTTCATCTTCATTATTATTCCACTTTTTAAATCAATTTTGATACCATTGTTTGTGCTTTTCTTCAATCAAAGTCCAGTTTCAGGAGGCCTGCAATATGGAATGTAGATTTTGTGTAAAATATTTGAAATATTTAACTAGTTTTGCCTACTATCCAAGAGCTATCATAGCTTTATCAGGTACTCCTGCCTCCTGGGATTTCAAGCAGTTCAGTAATTCTACAAATAGTTGTAGCCTTGTCTCATTACCAAAATCATGGATGTAATTTCTTGCAATTTTTCGTGTCATGATTTTTAACCTCAACAGCATGCATTTAAATGAGTAGTGAATTAAGAACATTTATATCTCCTCCCTAAAATAATTCCTTGTAAGTCAATCTTTCAGAAGTAAAATCTTTATGTCACAAGTGATACTAACCCTTTGAGTCTCCACTGAGGGCAGTGCACAGCCCATTTGAATATTCAGAATCCCTAACTTGTTACCTTTTAATTATGAAATTCTCAAAAGTTTCAATTATTTCCTGGATGTAAGTTATTGGAAAGGTTTATTTGTAGAATTTTCTTCTCTAGATTAAGTCCTTAAAATTCTGGTAATAGACTCATTAATCCTCAACATTCTATCCCCTCCTTGTTTCGAACTGATAACCTTGTTGAAGCTCAGATCACATGAGTTGATAATGCGTTTTTAGTTGCTGGAAGTCCTTGTTTAGAATGAGTTACTGGCCAACTTCTTTATTGCTTTTTCTAAATCAGCTTCATCTGGTTTTCTCTCTTTTCTTTTTTTTTCTTTTTTCCTTTTTTTGGTTTACTTCATCTGGTTTCTTCCAAATTTGTGACTAGACCATTTTCTTCACTAATTTCACCAGTCAAATATGTCTCCTTTCACTTCTGGTAATGACTGGTTTTGATGATCAGTTCCTTATGCTTTTGTGTTCTGGCTGCATGTTTGCTGTTAGACTTTTCCCTGTGATTTTAAAATTTTTAAGAAATCTTTCTTTAGCTACTACTGGATTGGTGTAGCAGCGAGATGGTGATGCTGTAGATTATCTGATTGATTTCATGGTATGGTAAGATGAATGGGTTTATAGTGCACAAATGATCCAAACAATGTTCAGTTTACCCTTTCTGCTTACTTCATAGTTGGCTACTCCACAAAGATTTCTTCTTCCTTCGTTTTCGATTCTTTTGTCTGTTCCTTTTCTCATTTTGGGGTATATGAAATCATTGTATGCATTATCTGTTCTCATTGTTCCTTCTTTTGGAAAACTTTGATGCAGTCTCTCATCCTTGTTTTCCAACATTTGGTATTAGATCCAAATTTGAGCTAAATCTTGTAGATCACCTATGGACATTGGATCTCCATGTCCATCTCTAGTCTTTTATTCACATGCAAGCCTCACGTTAACTGTCTGGATAAGGATTTAGGCTAATTTTTTGTAAAGGACCAAAAGACCAAAGGAGGATAATCTTTAAAGAGAAGGATCTAACAGAGAAGCAAGCGATAGAAGGAACAATGGTTTTCTTCAGTTTGCTATGTTCCTTGTTAGAGTTCCTTTCCAGCATGCCCTTATTTGGTGATTTTTATTCTCGTTATTAGAATGTTTGACCTGACTGATTCGCCCTCTCGTCTTGTTAAACAGATAAGGATTTAGGCTAATTTTTTCTAAAGGACCAAAAGACCAAAGGGGAATAATCTTTAACATGAAGGATTTAACAGAACAAGGGATAGAAGGAACAATGGTTTCCTTCAGTTTAATATGTTACTTGTTAGAGTTCCTTTCCAGCATGCCCTTATTTGGTGATTTTATTCTCGTTATTAGAATGTTTGACCTAGCTGATTCGCCCTCTCCTCTTGTTAAACAGATAATCTTGAACAAAGTTTTACTGGTTGGAACTAAAACAAGCACTTACATTGGACAACCAGTGGTGGCTAATGCAGCTGTTCATGCTGTTGTAGAAGAGCAGGTACTTTGGTTTTTCTCACTGCTTTTGGAATCTAATGTTTTTGCTTCAGTCTTTAACAATAAAATTTTGTGCTTACAGCTATTGGATAAGAAGGTTATTGTGTTCAAGTATAAGAAGAAGAAGAACTACCGTAGAAACATTGGTCACAGACAGGTACATGATGTTTTTTTAATCAGTGAATTTGGATCCAAAAGGTCGAAAACTATCTCATGCAACAGATTGCAACCTTATTTCGAATAAATGTAGGCGAGTTGAATATGTTCAGTTGAAGTTCTTCCTTAAGAAGGGTTTTGAGAACTGTTAATGCCAAACCAAACTCGGAAAGCTAATTATTACTAATTAGATGAGTTTAGAAGGAAGGATTAATGCTTAGTTCTAATGCTTCACATTTCTGACAACATTATGGTTTTAAATGTACAGCCAATTACACGGATAAGGATTATGGGCATCACTGGTTACGAGAACTCTCCAGCAGTCACACTGCCATAGATAGCCTTCTTGTTAGCTTGAGGAAGTGTAATTTAGGTGTCCAACTTCGAAGAGCCTACTAATTTTTGTAGATCTCTCTTCTCTGAATCTTTGTTGTAACCATGACTCTGTAAATTGCAACTATTTTTGGGAGCCAGTTGAAGTGGCAAGATCATTCATGTCTCGTACCTCATCTTATTTATTTATTTTTTTGTTTGTTTTTTGGCTCTTCTTAAGACCAGCACTCTAGGGTTCCTCCATACATCATCAAACGGTAACGGCTGAGGGTTCCGCATACTGTCTCAACTTACATTAATCATTTTCTTGATAAACTATGCCCTTCACTGAGAGGCTTGTTTATACCTCAAATCTCTCTCTATTTGGAAACAGAAGATGCAAACAAATTTTGCCTGTTTGGATCACACGTTTCAATGGTATAAAAAACATTAAGAAAAATCCCAGCATCATCTTGAAATGTATTGGTGATCATCCACATATTTCCATTTGCAATTTAAACCTTTCTTTGGACGCACTGGGTATGTTGAGGGAGATATTGAAGGACATTGCATATGAATTGAGCTTAATTAGTGGGATACTTTGTGTTTAACAAAAACATTCAATTCATTGAGCAAAAAACCTATTCTAATATCGCATATATACCTCACAATATTACAGGCCAAGAACAGAAGGAATGAGTTTGTTTTCTGTGCATCATCACTTCCTTGCAAACTACACTCATTCAAATCCTCATTCTACCATTGGTCTAACAAAGTCATCAACGCGTGCTTCAGTGTAAATATGATCTTTCAGGATTCTTCTGAGGTATTCTAACTGCTCGAATCCTCCTTGAAATTCTTCCCACTGCACAACAAGAAGATTGCTGGATGTCAAGAGCATTTTTTCTCAGATTTTGTACGGTTTGTACCAAGCTATGTCGAATATGCACCCAAGAAGGGAAAAGGGGAAAACACAGACAACACAGACACACACACACACACACACACACACACACACACTCAAGGTATTTGAAGCTTAACATCAAGGTGTTCATATCTGTAGTTGTTATTGAAGGGGACAAAATTTAAGGATAGGAAATGATTAAAAAAAAAAAAAGAAAGACAAAAGAAAACTCACTTCCTGGTGAGAGACTGATACCAACTTCCAACCAGCTGCAGTAATGTAACGGCGCTTTAACATTGTATGTCCAAGGGGGACACCTGGGAAGATAATTAAAAGACAGATCAATGGCAGCATACACAAAACCGAATTAGAATGTGGACAAATGTTCTAGATCAGGTCCAACAGGATACAGCAAGCTAATACCAACCTGAATTTCTTGAAAAATGAGTTGGTCCATCAATCTCAAGGGCAAGTTTTCTATCAACCAGAACAGCGTCCAAGGTGTAGCCTTCCACATCATATTCTCTAATCCAATCTAGACCTGTGCTAACAAGAAGACGGGCCACCTCCATCTGAAACGAGGATGTTGTCTTCAGATTAAATCTCTTAGTTCTACCTGCCCAACTAATTTTTTCCTCCAAACCACTATTCAAGGACAACTGAAGATGAGGATATTCTAATTTTAGACATTGGTTGGCAAGATAAACCTGCGAAGCAAATACTACATCATCCCTGTATTGCTCACAAATGTTTTGCTCCTCGACTTGGCATATGGTTTTCCAGATATTGGAAAAGAAACTACGGTCCATCTGTCCCAAAACAGAATAAGACCATGATATGTTGCCAAGCTGATCCCTATTCAAATTGAGTAAAGGGGTATCTAAGTTGTGTCTGCACTTGGTAGCACCGGAGATGTTGTCTCCTTCTACTCTAGAATTCGAAGTCACTTCTTCAACAGAATAATTGAACTGATTAATATTATTGAACGCACGATCCAGAGAATCCAGCAAAAGGTCTGCAGGCTCATAAAGTGAAGCAAAAGCCCACAACAGCTGAGCAATCTCTTGAGGTTGAAAAGTATCAATTATATCAGAGGCCCTTTTTGCTAGTCCAGAAAATAGTTCGGGGGAAGAGTGCTGCATAGTAGCATAAGCACCAGCAACATTGGCAACATTTTGTGAATTAAACTCGCCAACTTTGATCAAAGCGACCTCGGCCAATCTATCCATTTCCGAGAGGTAAAGAAGCTCACCCCCAATCTTTGACAGTGCCCATGCAATATTTGAAACACCCTGTGCTGAGCATTCAGGCAAGGCAGTCATTGCCATTCCCACAAGCATAGACATCTCCCTTTGACGGGCAAATGCTAAACGTCTAGTCCTTGCCATTTTCACCTTCTCCATGTTTTTAGCAATTCTATGCAATGCAGTTGCAATATTTAATGTTGAAAGAGGGGAAGGACTAAGCCCTTTTGCAACAGCCACTATCATCTCAGCTGTAACCTCTAGTACTTCCTGAGCAGTCTGTGCCTCGATAATGTCTTTGTTCAAGTTAATCTCTTTCCTTCGATCTGATGGACCAGAAAACTGTGAGAGCCTCTGAATAAACGTTTCCATAGTTTTTGCTTTTCGTTCTTCAAACATCCCATCTGCCAACATACCCACTGCTTCTTTTAGACCATTAGTCCCATCCAAAGGTGGCGTATCTACCAAAGGAAGATCTTCCTCGTCTGAATCCATTTCTGCCTCCTTTTTAACTTTGTTTACCAATTTGGGTTTCTTTTTATTCTTCTTTTTCTTGTTCTTGTTACCAGTGATGGAATTTTTCACAACATGGGTCAAGCCTCTCGATTCTATAGATTTAAGGGCGATCTTCCTTGCCCTCACACACCAGTCCATGTCATCGGTATCCTGCAACAACCTAGATTTCTGTTGCTCTTTTTTCTTATCAGGAGGCAAGTGTGGCTGTACCTTCCCAAGGAACTCCACCTCCCAATCCACACTAGAAGAGAATCTGTTTTCCCGTTCAGCCCCGTTTGCAACTTCATCATCATCATCATCATCATCGTCATCATCACGATGTATAGTAAAAGATTTATTGCTTCTGCGAGGACTCACACAGCAAGTTCGCCCCTGTGAAAGGACACCTAAGTCAAAGAAAGATTTGCTGTTCATGGGCGCAAAGGGGAACATTGGCGAGCTCATCTTTACAGCATGAGGCTGGACCAATGAGGAAACTGTAATAGGTGGAGGTCCTCGAAAATTGTGGAACGTATTCAGCAATGCGGCTTCCATCAGTGTTGTTTCCTGAGTTGTCCCAAAAAAAAAAAAAAAAATGTAACAAATACAGAAATGGAATTCTTTCTAAGCAAAAAGTTGGTAAAAAAATGCAACAATGGGATCACATGGGGTAATTGGGTAGCAGTAGTAAAACAGATTTCCAACATCCTAAAGAAGCATCACAACAAAACAAATAGAGTACAGGACGGTGGATATTAATTCTCAAAATTATCTTGCAATATGCAAGGGCAAATAGAGACAGAGCTTATACTCAATCAAGAGCATTCTCTTACATCACGGAACCAAAATATGAGTTCTACTTTTCATTTTCTAGAGAAGCTCAAGAGCACAAGTATGATACATCACTCCCCAGAAGGGCAGAAAGCACCACCAAAAATGCACTCAAACTTACCAGAAGTCCATGGTTAAGCATTCGAATTGCCTAAAACTGAAACCATTTTCACTAACATTACACAAGAAAAGAACCAAAGCAAACACATGCACTTGGAAAGGGGCAGAAAACGCCTCAAATGTTACATTACTAACCCAGAAAGCACCAATTCCCAAACTTTAAATGCATAGAGATAAAGATAAACATCAGTTCCTGAAACAATACACAAAATGGAAACCATTTTCAACCAGCAAAACGTGATACAAACTAAGCAAAGTAAAGAGGGGGGTTTTGGGACATACCTCGAAAATGGTTAATTCAAATAAAAAATGAAGCAAACAAAATCCCAAATTGGCAAAGGTGGATTTCTGTGAGCAGAGCCACTCAATCCAAAGAACACAGCAGCTGAAGGAGAGGAAGAAGAACTAATAAGTTTATTATAGACAGTTTTCCGGGTTGACAATGAAGATGAGAAGCCCAACTAGCCTGTTTTAAGTCCATCAACAGGTGTTTTATTTTTCAGAAGGCCCATCAACAGCCCAATTCACAGAACAAATTAATGTATATTCTTTTTCTTCCTTCTTCCTCACCTCCGTTGTAGTTCTACTATTTTCAGAGGGCGGGAAATTCCTTCTGATGAGTTGATGAATTCCAGTCTTGAACCCCAATCCTGGTTTGGTCTTTTATTTCTGTTAAAATTTAATCTATTTTGTGGATTTCTTCTGAATTTTTCCTTTGGGGGTTTAGGAATTCTATTTTGCAGTTATTGACTTGAATAGTTCAATTTGTTCAGAGCTTAGTCCCCATTTTTCCTTGCACAATCTTCAGTTTCATGACATTTTTTTGAGTTTATATATGTCTATGCAACTTTATGGAAGATGGGATATTTTATTAGTTTAATTGGTTGAAAAAGATGAGATTTTTCTTCTCATTCTTGTAGACAATCACTTCAAGCTGAAGTTACTAGTTAAATTGTTGGTTTCTTCTATTCTTGACACAGAGAATTGTGAGTAGTTATAATAGACAAACACGACCCTGCTTTTTACAGGGTTGACTTAGAGTTGCTAACAACTAAAAATGGCTAATGTTTTTTTGGCATTTTCACACGTCTTTTGTAAAAAGATGCTACTATGAGTAATGTCATCTAGAGTAATCATACTCTCGTAGTGACTGATAGACAAAGGATAAAATTTTCTCAAAGGGCTAATTATGTTCCTTCGAGCTGTGTCGTGTTATGCCACTGCCATTTTCCCTTACAGAGATATGTCATTACCATATGTTGTGATGAACTGTTGCAAGTGGACTAAAATGTTGATCACCCACCTATTCTCCATTGGCTAGATTTAGCAACTGTATGTTGTTTCGATGTTTGCCTACCTTTTTTTAACTAATTTCCCATCCTTAAACAAACAACACTACTAGCATTACTAACAGACTCAAATAGACATTCTTCCTTTTTTTTTTTAATTTGATTTTCATGCCCAAATTGTTTGCAGTTTGTAATGAAATCCATCGATATTAAGCATGAAGAAGATAGTGAGGAATCTACAAGTGGTCGATTGTGGTCAAATCTACAACCATTTTGGTCGACAAGGTGCACACAGTGAAAGGCTGCAGAATCCATATGCCAGGGGGAGATCCACCATGCTTTGAAGGTATGGAGCATTAATATTCATTCTTGTTTTACTTTCTGCATGACATCTAGTAATTGAAATTTTTAGATTTTGGTGTGCGTAGATTACTTAAACTCGCCATAGAAAACATGCTTGTTTTCAAGGTCTGGGAGTATGTTTCTGCAGATTGTGAAATTATTGTGGAAATAAATTTCTCATTCCATGTCTGATGTTCTTGCTAGACACATTTTTCTCACCTGCTTGAGTATTTGTTTTATCGTGCACTTGGAATTTCTTGTTGCTTTGAGATCGTGTGCCGTATTTACATCTTGGTTTATTGAGAACCTTTTGCGATGTAAATAGTGACTCCTGGCTTGCTTCTTGATACTATGTCCTGGGACTTTCCTGTTGGAGGGTCTTATTTTGTGATGGCCACAAATAGTTTCTGAGCTACTTGTGGCTTGCAGTTTCCTTTGGCAAATGCTTTAAGTTTTGATCGACATTCTCCGTTGGAGAAGTGCATCATTACCAATTAGCTACATTTCTTAATTGATTGTTGTGATCTCTCCAATATATAATTTGACAGCAAGGGTCATGCCATCAACAGTGTATCCAAATGAAGTTTAGGACACACTTAACCAGCTACTACTCAAAAATGATCTGCACCAGGACAGAACGCAGCATACCAGCTTGGAAATGGTGCATGTCCATGGCTCAACAGTGCACCAACTCAAAACCATTCATGCCCATTCACGCCCTATTCATCACTCATGGTCTCCATCATAACAATTATGCCGTCAGTCAGCTACTCAACTTTTGTGCTTTCAATAATTCTGGTGATCTTTCTTACGCGTCCCTCCTCTTCAGCCAGCTCTCTAGTCCCAATGTATATGTCTACAACACAATCATCAAAGCGTATTCTACGTCCTCTCAACCCCCGGAGGCCCTTAGCTACTTCAATCTAATGTTACACAGTCAACAAACACCAGATTGTTATACGTTGTTCTAGTTGCTTGCTCTGGTGGATTGTCACCTTTGGAGTTGGAGGGGAAGAAGGTACACTGTTGGTTGATGAAAAATGGGTTGGCCTTTGCAAATGCCCATGTACAGACTGCACTTGTTCGGTTTTATTCAGAATCAAAATTGCTTGATGATGCTCGCAAGATGTTTGATGATATTGGTGAGATTGATAATGTGCAGTGTAATGTGCTCATTAGTGGTTATGTAAAATGAGGCATGGCTGTGGAGGCTTTGAATGTATTTCAGAGTATGTTGTTGCGTAGAGTTAAGCCTGGCTTGTTCTGCCTGACTTCAGCACTCACCGCTTGTGCAAAGGTGGGAGCTCTGGAACAAGGGAAATGGATACATAATTACGTGAGCAAAATGAATTTGTTGACTTCTGATACCTTCCTTGGAACTCAACTTGTTGAAATGTATGCTAAGTGTGGTTGCATAGACATCGCCGTGGAGCTTTTTGAAGGTATACCTAAACGAAATAATTTCTCGTGGCGGGCAATGATTGGAGGTTTTGCGGCACATGGATATGCTAAAAAAGCAATAGAGTGTTTAGAGAGGATGCAAATAGAAGACGGGATCAAACCTGACAAGGTAGTGATCCTAGAAGTTTTAGCAGCTTGTACTCATGCAGGACTAACTAGACAAGGTCAATTGCTCCTGAACAATATGGAAAGTCTTTACGGCATTTCACCAGAGCATGGACATTACAGTTGCGTGGTAGACTTATTTTGCCGGTCTGGACAGTTTCATGAAGCACTTGAGGTCATTAATTGCATGCCAATGACGCCTGGTGCTTCCGTCTGGGGTGCCCTTTTAAATGGATGTCGGGTCCATAACTATCTCATTCTTGTGGAGTTTGCTGTTAAAAACCTGTTGGAGATAGAAGATGGAAATGAAGCAGAAACAAATAGTTGTTTGGTGCAGTTATCAAATGTATACCTTTCTGCTAAAAAAGGCGACGATGCCCGCAGAGTCAGAAAAATGATTGGTGATCGAGGGCTAAAGAAATCCCTGGGATGCAGTTCAATTAATATTGATGGAAAGGTTAATGAATTTGTTGCGGTAGGTGTCTCACATTCCGGTCTGCTGAAATATTTTCTATACTTGAGTTCTTATCCATTGATTTATCAGTTAATCCATCTCGTGAAATGAAAGACCTAGTCTACCAGCAATCGGAAGCTCAAACCTGACTTCAATGCGGTTTAGTCCTTGGTTTCTTATCTTTTCACGCTCAAGTTCTCTGTATGAAGGAATTACTACATTCCTGGAAAGCAGTTTTATGGTCAATGTCCAACAGCGTGCAAGGTGCATATTTTCTTTCCCCTTTTCTCATAGCTGGATATGTTTCTGCCCAGAAATTTAACTCAAAAGTTAGACATTGCGATAGTGGAGGTTTTTGGCCAATTAGACTAAACATCATTCCTATATTTTTTGTGGCATGTGCACTTAAAACCATTACTATCATTGTTGTGTCTGTATCATGAATCATATGATGCTTTTAAATTTTTTCAAAGATCTTGAATACTTTTTCCTTGTTCAGAAATCAAATGTTCCCAGAGTGCTTCTGTGTTGGCATGGACTTGGAGACTTTTACCCTGAATTTCACGTAACATTGAACTCAAGGTTCTGGTTTGTTCCAGGACAGCATAGTGGCAAAGAGAAGACGCTGGCTATCTTACCAGGTTCCATTTTCATGGTTTCTGATTGAATATCTTGGCATCGTCCAATGCCACTGCTCTTCCCCACTTATGGTCATTCATAATCTTACCTGATCAACTCACCTTGCACGCATTTCGTTTCTTGAAATTAATATTGCCCTATAAGTGTCAGAATCTTTCTTTTTAAGCTGTGTCCTTGTATAATTTTAGCCGTTTTTAGTTACTCATTGCTACATTGTTACTACTAATCACAACGGAAGTTTCTTCACCTCAGAAGGCAACAGTATTAGCCTTCCCTCTCTGATAGTGAAATAATATATAACCCAACATTTGCTACATTTCTCTTATAAATGATTCACAAAACATTCAAATCAATAAAGTCGATTCTATAATCTCAAAACTGCTAAATGTCACCTCACTGCACGTTTGTGATCTGTTAATATAATTATTGGAGTTCTTTTTTTTTGATAAAAAGGAGATATTTTTAGTCTCTATCTATGTTTTTCTGCATGTGTTCTGCTTTACTTACAGAGTTCAGATGGAGAAGATTTCAAGTTAATCTTACATTGATTTATGACATCTGTGATTTTCTGCAGTGTGCTGCTTGTGCTATTCTTTTGCGGCTCCAGTGTGCGGTGCAGGCACATATATAGTGGTTATGCTGTAGGTCTAAAACTCTGTTTGATCTACTTGTTTCGATTAACTAGTTAGGTTGAATGGTTTTTAATCCAGTAGACTGACATGCTTGTGTTCTTTTTTTTTTTTTTTTTTTTGGTGTGTGTGTTTGAGCCACTGCAAGAAAAGCGAAAGGTAACAAAGGCATGAAAAAGCGTAGTCGAGACACTTGTCTTTGAGGAAAACACACACACACAGTAGAGGGACTTCATGGTTGTGCAGAAGACGACGCCAAAGGTCATCAAGAGATTGCGCGCCTGAAGAACCAAAGAAGCAAAGCAAGGAAATGGGCAACATCAAATCCTGTCTTTCAATGGCAACAACCATTTCTGCTAGCCTATTTGTCGCAAAACTTAGCATATGTCGCAACCGAACCACTTTTTTTTTTTTTTTTGGTGTTTATTCTAATGATTGCCGCGTGATGATGTAGGTAGTTGATGCATGCTGCTGTTATCCTCTTGAAGGTGTGAATATGTTGATTTTAATTAGTGAATTGAAAATATTTTCTTGGGTCGAACTGTTGAACGCCCTTATTTTTTCATTTGAATGCCCGTGAAAGACCGAGGTGCCCCTGCAAAATGGAGGTAAATATTTTTTTTTCCGAAAAAAGGGGGGCGAAGGAGAACTGCGCCAACCATTAAGGGCTGGCGCAGGAGAAGCGCACCCCCTATGGGGGTGGCGTGCAATAAACTCGCCTCCCTGTAAAGGGAGGCGAGACAGCGCGCCAGATCTGGCGCCACCTTTGTCCGGGTTGGCGAGCAAATCACCGTAAAACGGGCGCTACCCATTTTTTTCATTTTATTTTTTATTTTTTTATTTTTTAATATATTTTATATTTATGAGTTTAATAATTATTATTATTAGTTTAATAAATTTAATTAATTCATGTATTTATTTTATTTGAGTATTTTTTTGGTAGTTTAATATTTGTTTAGAAAATTAAGGTTTATGGTAAATAGGTTTATGATATTTAGATAATGTTTTTTAATTACGTATACTGTTATATTAACTGAGCTAATGGGTATAGCTGTTAGGGATTAGGATTTTTGTTAAAATAATGAGTTTTTATTAATAATATTTTTAATTTGTTATTAGTATATATTAATTATCTTTAAAGTATAAGATCATTATATCAGATTATATAACAATTGTTACTCATAGCAAATTATTTGTGGTTTAACAATGTTAGAGTTAATTTAAGTTATAATATAATTTGTTTTTAATGTGTGCAGGATAGGTTTGATCAGGGGGATGGAATCGATTATAGTCCGGCTTTTGCTACAGACGAGACTTTTGCGACGAAGAAGGAAGCTGCTGCATATGCAAAGGGTATTGCGAACTTCTACAATATGGAGTTAAGTGTATCCTCGCACAAGGATAATACTACTATACTCCTTTGTCATAAAGGAAGGCGATACCAAGGTCAACAGGTAGATGAAAACGTGCGCGTGCGAGCCAATACAAAGACACAGATGACCGGATGCCAGTTTCGTGTTACTATTTACAAGACATATGATAGGTGGGCGATCCGTGTATATCCAGGTCCGTTGGGAATGCACAACCATTCATTGAAAGATCCACCTCGAGTCAGGAGGCCATTGAGTGAAGAAGTAAAAGAGCTTATTAAGGAGTACTCCAAAGCTGGGACTAAGGCAGTCCACATTTTACGGGCGATATGGACATAATTTCCCGATGAAAAGGTAACCTCCAAACAAGTCTACAACTACAGAAATTTTTTGCGTAAGGCGGGGTTTCCAATCTAGATTGCCTGTCTGCCATGGACGTAGTGGGAAAGGTGTTAGAGGTCGCAGAACAACACAAATACATCATCTTCACGGAGTGCGATGAAGAGACACAGAGGTTATCCCACGTGTTTTTCGCACATCCGGATTCTTTGTTGCTGTTGCGGACGTATCCTTGGGTTGTTTGTGTAGATTCCACATACAACACAAACAAATATAAACTGCCTCTTGGGCGCTGTGGCAGCTCCGTAACTTGTATGGCGAAGATCTGCATCCGAGTGTCATCGTGACTGATCGGGAGCCTGGACTGATGAGGCCTCTTGATGATGTATTTCCATCCTCACATCACTTGTTGTGTACGTAGCATGTTTACAGGGATGTTGAAAGAAATGTGAAAAGAATTTTGAATGGAAATGTACATGTAGCAAAAAGCTTCGCATATAATGCCTTCAAAGCAGTGATCGAAGCTGCAAATCGGGAAGTATACGAAGAAAAAGTACAGTTTCTGGAGCATAATTGGTCTCAATTTCAGCCCGTTCTAGAGTATGTTAGGAAGACATGGTTAGTGGTGGCGCACAAGTTTGTGCATGCATGGACCAACACTTATTTGCATTTTGGCAACACCACTACTTGTAGAGTGGAGAGCACACACAAGTTGTTAAAGGAATGGCTATGCATTCCAAATGCTTCTTTTAAAACGGTGTGGCACAGGGTTCACATGTTACTGGAGACACAGCTTACGCAAATAAGGTATTGGATTTTGATCCCCTTTTTAGTTAATTTGTGTATTTAGGTTGTTTAATTAATTTGTTAGAATTCCTCCACATGGAGAAATTGCAAGAATCAAGGCAGAAAATAAGGAGGCAACACAACAAGTACCCTTTCTACCAATTAAGATGCAATGTTTCACACTACTGTTTGGGTCTATTGAACAATGAGTTGGAAAGGATGCAACAACTCGGAGATGATGTGTATTGGGAATGCAATCATTACCTGAAACGAACTCATTCCCTCCCTTGTGCATGTATACTTAAGCGTATAATGGAGGCCAGCGAGATTTTGACTCCAAAATACTTACACCAATTTTGGAGCACACTTGACATCGGTGAGGTTACAGAGAAAGATGGTTCGGATGATGTTCCCCCTCACAGATTGTTGTTCAGGCAGTTAGTGGAAGAATTGGACGCTGCTAAGGAGCCAATACAGCGCGAGATCACCAGATTGATGTACAACAAACTTCACCCAGGCCAAGCCGGATTAAATGAACCGCGGGTTGGAAATAGAGGCAAGGGCAGGCCGAAGAAGAGGGGCATCTTTAAAAAAAAGCAAGACAAACCAAATGTGTGGGCATACAGGGACGGCAATCAGGGTGGTACCAATACCAGCGGTTTCAGTAAAGCAGGTACGAGCCAAGGTACCTCGAGTAAAGGTGGGACGAACACCCACAGTTCCAGTAGAGGCCATACATCGGGAGCTGAAGATCAGAGCAGAGGTCCGATATTACTTTCTCTTTTTAAATGTGCGAAATATTATTTTACTTGGTTTACTAGAAGCACTTTTGTTACTGACCCATGCGAGAGCAGGTATATGGACTGGGCAAGGTGAGACGAACACCAGCAGTTCCAGTAGAGGCCACAGGTCGGGTTCCGAACCCTATGTCGGAGGTACGTTTATAATTTATTTTGTTCTTAAATACTGATATGTAATTCAGAAATAATAATATTATTTTACGTGGTTAAATATGTGATGCAGACAGACTTTTTCCAGTTTAGGCACAAGAATAAGATTCCGCAGGTACTCCACAATCATGTTGTGTCATATCTTGATGTCGAGGCTGACGACAATTGTGGTTTCCGCGTCTTTGCGAGTTGCATGTTGGGAGGGCAGGATAATCAAATTTTGTGCAGACAGATATGTTATGATGATGTTATAAATAACCCTGGCCTGTACGGGAACCTTTACGGGTATGAAGCCAGTTTAATTTTAGTGATCGGTTTTCATACAGTTGCATCAATGTTATTTTATTTAAAACCTTCATTTACTTGTCTTTGTAGGTGGGAAAAATTACCTGCAAGCCTAGAGCGTATACGGTGGACTGGTACCTCCGCAGGTCACTGGATGTCGACAGAGGACTTTTATCCCCTTGCTACATATTTCAATGCTGTTGTGTACTACTTCAGAACCAACGGTGCTGCAAATCTAAACGGCACATGTTGGACTATGCTACCACTGAGCGCATGGGGCAGGGCAACAAGGCCAGAGTTCCAGATAGTTATTTGCCACCTTGAGCCTTACCCGCACTTCATTCGACTCAATCTGCAGGGTGATTTTCCGATTCCCCCCATTCACCCTAGTTGGAGGCATGATCGTGATAGTAGTGTTATTGGTTGGGAAGAACCTTTTGAACCCAGACTGCAGCTATGGCGTACTTTGGTACCTCAGATAAGACCCACACGGGAATATAGTGATCTCGGGTGATATGTTGTGTATATATATATATTTTTTATGAAATTGGTGATATTTTAACGTAAATTAAAATGTAAATTGCAAATCAACATAAGGACATATTGTTCAGAATAACAGAATCAGTACATAATTGTTTAAAGGAAAAAGCACTGAGTAGAATGTCATGGGGCCTGACTGTACCGAAAGATGACATCATCCAGGCGAGTATCCCACTCCTCACCAAGACCCAAATCGAGTTTCTTCAAATCGTCGATGCAACCTTGAGTCAACTTCTCCATCTCACGCATCTACTACAAATGTTAAATAAAACCATATTAATCCCTTAAAGATAGTACGTGTGTTATTAAACAAAAGGTATTCCAGTTAGAGTTTAACTTACGTAAGTGGTGCAGTTCTTCCCTGGGATGCATGATGTAGACGGTACGGACTCCGACAGTAGAAATGGATGTGAATGGCTCCTGTACCAGTCGAGGTAATCTACAGCTGTCTGTCCTACCTCAGTGGACGATACCGGCACACAATGACTGAGGTTGATGCACTCCGAATCCAGAAATCTAACCCAACAGTTACATGTCTCGGCAATCGGACGATCAACTAAATACTTGTGCGCATTTTTCCCGCGAAACTGAGTTACCGGCGTGAGTGGCGCACGAGGTATGTACTGCACGTAACCGAGATGGCATATCACTCTCTCCGGCATGTATGGCTCCTGGAAGTCGTGGTACATAATCCACCCACTGAAGATGGCCCTCGGATATGCTGCCGCCTGTTCGCGACCAAATGGCTCCCATTCGACCTGCGAACGTTACCAATATTTATTATAGTGTACACAATGAACTACCCCTTACGCAATACACAGGATTAAAATATAAAGTGTACCTCTTGCTCCGTCATCGCGTCGAGCTGCGTACGAATCTGCTGGAGACGACTATGAATAGGCTTCGGGCCCTTATAGCTAACTGGTGTCCACTCTCGGGCTCTGGGCCAACCATCAACACCTCGACGTCCTCGCCTCTTGGAGGGCTGGAAGCATGGAAAATACTCATATATCCATGCTTGGAGAAGGGTCATACAACCAGCCATCGTGGTACACCCTGCTCGACTAGCAATAACAAGCTGACGGTAGAGGAATGCTAGTGTACCGGATCCCCAGGAGTACTCTCCAATATTGTCGATACCTCCGTGCAGCTCATTCATAAGCGAAGCACTGATCCTGCCCCCACTCCTGTCAAGGAAGAGTGTCGAGGCTAACAAGATCCACACCTAAGCTTGCACTCGAACAATGGGAGGACCTGCGACAACACTCCTCAATCAATATGTCGCTCACACCTCCGTGGCTCCATGCACGCTTTAACTCAGCCAACGGCATCCCAAGCAATCCCGCGACCTGCATTTTCAAATCCTCAGCTTCCGCAGATTGGGTCAACAAGTAACCATCAAGTGGAATCGCCAAAATGTGTGCCACATCATGCATCATAATGGTTATCTCCCCAAACGGAAAGTGGAAAGAGTTTGTGTCGGGCTGCCACCTCTCTATGAATGCAGAAATAAGCGCAAGGTCAATATCATCATACATGGTATCAATCAGATGATACAAACCGGTATTCTGAATCTGCAACTGTGCGTTCTCCGGCAACCTCGCATACCATCCATGCAATCTAGACAAACTCTTCTTCGCTGGCTTCATCGTCAGGTAATCTCTTGGTTCTCCAGTCCACAACTGATAAGCAGTGTGGCCAAGAAAATTAAGAATCACTGACCCATCACATGGCCCGCCAGGTACGTCGTCTGTCACAACCCAATCATCAGTTTCTTCGGTAGAAACCTTAGACCGTCTGCTAGTACCTTCAACCCGAATAAAGAATAGTGTATAAATACTTAATCGAATGCAATTAAGAAATTGACCAAGCAGTAATGAATGCTGAAATTGTTACAAATACGTACCTGATGACGATGCAACTGCCTCAGGACGGATAGAGGCACCAATGGATGTGCCACCAATACGGGAACGAGGTTGAGTAGTCAGAGGGGGACCTCTAAAAAGAGTACTCTGCGGGCCTGCATGCTGAAGAGTAGTACTCTGACCTCTAAAAAGAGTACTCTGCGCCCCTGCATGCTGAAGAGTAGTACTCTGACCTCTAAAAAGAGTACTCTATGGGCCGACACGAACACTGGAACCACCAGGAGTGTAAGCTGAATTCAGGGGTGATAATCCCACAAGGGACTTCCCCCCCCCTCCCTCCCGGGTAGGGTGAACTGGAGTCTAATCAACAGTATGACCAATGGGGTTCAGTACTGAGTTATCTGCAATATGTATATCCCTCCTCTCATGCAAGGAATACTCGGATGTGTCATCCTCCTCATCCACATCGTCCCCCCCACTCTCAAAACTATCCTCTGCTGATTCCTCTCCCTCAAAATCATCATCATCATCATCATCGTCTACGTTAGCTAACTCACCAAGTGGGCCAAACGTA